TGTTCTTATGTCTTATGTTCTTATGTCTTATGTTCTTACGTCTTATGTTCTTATGTCTTTTGTTCTTATGTCTTTTGTTCTTATGTCTTGTTCTTACGTCTTATGTTCTTATGTCTTTTGTTCTTATGTCTTATGTTCTTATGTCTTATGTTCTTAGGTCTTATGTTCTTATGTCTTATGTTCTTAGGTCTTATGTCCTTATGTCTTATGTTCTTATGTCTTATGTTCTTATGTCTTATGTTCTTATGTCTTATGTTCTTACGTCTTATGTTCTTATGTCTTTTGTTCTTATGTCTTTTGTTCTTATGTCTTGTTCTTACGTCTTATGTTCTTATGTCTTTTGTTCTTATGTCTTATGTTCTTATGTCTTATGTTCTTAGGTCTTATGTTCTTATGTCTTATGTTCTTAGGTCTTATGTCCTTATGTCTTATGTTCTTATGTCTTATGTTCTTATGTCTTATGTTCTTATGTCTTATGTTCTTACGTCTTATGTTCTTATGTCTTTTGTTCTTATGTCTTTTGTTCTTATGTCTTGTTCTTACGTCTTATGTTCTTATGTCTTTTGTTCTTATGTCTTATGTTCTTATGTCTTATGTTCTTAGGTCTTATGTTCTTATGTCTTATGTTCTTAGGTCTTATGTCCTTATGTCTTATGTTCTTATGTCTTATGTTCTTATGTCTTATGTTCTTATGTCTTATGTTCTTACGTCTTATGTTCTTATGTCTTTTGTTCTTATGTCTTTTGTTCTTATGTCTTGTTCTTACGTCTTATGTTCTTATGTCTTTTGTTCTTATGTCTTATGTTCTTATGTCTTATGTTCTTAGGTCTTATGTTCTTATGTCTTATGTTCTTAGGTCTTATGTCCTTATGTCTTATGTTCTTATGTCTTATGTTCTTATGTCTTATGTTCTTATGTCTTATGTTCTTACGTCTTATGTTCTTATGTCTTTTGTTCTTATGTCTTTTGTTCTTATGTCTTGTTCTTACGTCTTATGTTCTTATGTCTTTTGTTCTTATGTCTTATGTTCTTATGTCTTATGTTCTTAGGTCTTATGTTCTTATGTCTTATGTTCTTAGGTCTTATGTCCTTATGTCTTATGTTCTTATATCTCATGTTCTTATGTCTTATGTTCTTATGTCTTATGTTCTTATGTCTATGCCATGTCCTATGTCTTATATCATATCCTTTACATTTCTTATCTCGCATATCACGTCCTCCACATTTCTAATGCTCTTATGACTTATGTTCTTCAATGTTCTTTTGATTTTTGCAATCATGTTCTTTTCTTTGGCTTTTTTCAATTTGATTTTGGCTGACTGCCAAAAGGCAGGCACTTTGTAGTTATCATACATTTTTAAAGTGTATTATCATACCTTAAAATCACTTTTATATACTTTGAAACAATGTTTGTTGGGCAGAATTTTGATACTTCTTGGAATAGCGAATTATTCTGCTGTCGCGAACACAAATTAGAAAATCAATAAGAATAGTAAACATGGAATTTAACGAAAGCTTTCAATACCGACGCGTGAACGAAAGAACTTCTTTGTTCGCTAGTGTCAGTGTCACGCAAAGACGTCGGATTTTTTACGTAAGCTGCTTCGTCGTCGTGGCCATCATCATTATCATCATTCTGTGCTTCATCTACAGAGCACCGAATGGCGGTCAGAACGCTACGCATCTTATTAATACAGTATTTAGAATTAATAATATCACTCGTTTGCTTGAATCGCAAATTCACTAAAAACTTAAAAGCAAAGAAAACTCCACAAAAATTCATAGTATCTTTAGAGAAAACGTTTCGGAGTCCAGCTCCATCGTAAGTTCGAAAATTCTAGAACACAGATAAATCAATGATTAGTACAGTCAAGATTACAACGAAAACTGGACTCCGAAACGTTTTCTTTAAAGATACTATGAATTTTTGTGGAGTTTTTTTTTGCTTTTAAGTTTTTAATATTTAGAATATATCATAAATATGTTTAAACAGACTTCACACGATTCAGTTCATGCCTTGCAAGCGGACTGGGTAAATGATGTCATGTATTTAACTCTATAATATAATATCGTTTCGTTAATATTTTTTGGTAGCAGGTTTTACGAAGCTTGCTCTACCACCATGCAGGAGGTTATGTTGAATAATATTGAATACCCGGACCAGCTAATGGTCAAATGGTTGTGAGAGATAGGGTCAATAAGACTGTTGAAGTAAAAGTTTGTTATTATTTTGTATAAAAAGATTGACTGTGCCTTTTTCTTATTTTTTTGTATGCATCAATAGGACATATAATTTTTTTTAATATTATGGTGTATAGTGTTAGCCTGATAATGCTTGTATATTTAATTCTGAACTGATAACGGTACTGATCACCGAAAAGTCGACATAAATATATTATGCATTTTCTTGTCTTCAAATCCTTCGTTATATTTTTCAATATATTAGATAATTCATACTTTTCCATTTGTCTTGAATAGTTCGCAGAAAACTTGTGTCATTTTTGAGCTGCATTACGGGGATTTTGGAATGCGCAAGTACGACTGAAAAAATTCAGAAGTAAGACAATTTATGTGTTTTTTTTCTGACAAATAACTTCTGTTTTATTTCTGGTGCCCAGCTCTGTCGCAAGGCGGCAAGGGGGCACAGCTCAGCCCTGACGTGCAGACGCTCTGCGACGACTTCTGGCAGTGGCGCCTCCAGGATATGCCAGAGTTTGCAACTTTCGTGAGTCGCAACTTTTGTGAGATTCGATCTCGTTTCCTTCCCTGCTTGTGCTGAACTTGTTGCGCTCCGAGACATGCATATCTTCTGTAAGCCAGTTCTAAAATTGCAGGAATCGGCGACAGGCCAAACATGGCCTAATTTTCTACGCCAAGGCTGCTATGTTATACCATATTGTGCTATACTGTACTATACTATACTATACTATACTATACTATACTATACTATACTATACTATACTATACTATACTATACTATACTATACTATAATACTAAATACTAAGTCCACTAGAAATACTGTTAATTACACTCCAATCTCATAAATTTAATTGGATATTCAACGATAGTTATTATTTTTTCCATTTCGTGGCAAAAAGTAATCAGTTTTGATAGCAGAGTTAATGAAGCTCGTTGATTAGACCTGGTAAGCAAATAATGTTCCATCATATCATTGCGTCAGCTATGGAAAGATCGGGTTCCAAAGGCCGGATCCCTTGTGAATCAAGTCACGAAAAGTTCAAGAATCGGCAACAGGCCATGGGCCTATTTCTTTAACGCCGACACTTCTATTCTATTCTATTAAGCTATGGTAAATCTTAGCAGTTATTGAGAATGGAAATCTTTCTATCTGCTTCGCATTGCACAATTCTCGAGTTTAAGTGGCTACTGCGGCCGCTATCTGTTTGTCGTTGTTTGAGAACCACGATTTTCTGTGCATTTTTAGTGATCATTCGAACTGTTTGTTTGTATTTTGTGTCATCAAATATATGCTTGAATTGATTAATGTTTTATCTTTCAGTTTTACTGGCTTTATCATCTAGAGAAAAATACTTTTATTCGCTATCATTCGGTTTTTCAAATTTGTTTGTCGTGATGCACCTTGTTCTTCACTGGTGGTTTTCCTTTCGTTAAATAGTGTTTTTTGTGATATTTGTTGATTTGTGTTATGATATTTATAAACTTCGTGATTATATTGGTAGGAATAACTCAAGTACAACTACCGTATCTTTTCCAAGTTATTATTTATATTCTCAGTACCTCGCTTATTAGTTAAATTCTATGAGCGCGTTGACTCGATTAGGACGCGTCTTTCGCTGCGGTTTCTTTTTCATTTTTACTCTACATCATAATCTCTATCAGTGCATAATCTCTATCAGTGCCATCAATAAAGTGTTAATAATACCTATCTCACTTTTTTGCTCGGTTTAAGTTCTGTTTGTCAGGCTGGTGCCGCAGTAATAGCGTATACATGACGTCATTGTAGCGCTTACATTCAGCGTCACTTAATTCATTATTTTCGCCTGCGCAGGTCGGTTTTTTACAATAGGCTATTCCTGCCCCAGCGTCACTTAATTCATTATTTTCACCTGCGCAGGTCGGTTTTTTACAATAGGCTATTCCTGCCCCAGCGTCACTTAATTCATTATTCTCGCCTGCGCAGGTCGGTTTTCACGCTTACAATGACCGTCTCGACGACCTCTCCATGGAGGCGTATGAAAATCGGCTCAACAAAGTGTATGAATTCCTGGGACGTGTTGATTTTTTGGCGCCAACTTTGACTGAACACGAGGACATAGTGAACATGAAGGTTCTGAGGGATGAACTTACCACGTTCATCGAAGGATATCAGTATAAAAAGTAGGTTGTTGAAAATTTTCGAAGACGAAGAATCACAACGAAGAATCTATTACCCAAATGTTAAAAAATAAGTTTCAGACCTAAGGGCTAAATGTGTTAAAGGCTGGCCATAACTTTACGATGTGACAAAATTTGAGTGAAAGATTTTGAAACCATGACACCGTTTTCTTCTATAAGAATAATAAATTCTGAAGTACCGCAATTCCCACGGGATTATCCGTAGAGTGTTTCTCAGACTCATCAAACTCTTTAGTATGAATTATAGTCTCTATTCTTGATAAATACTAACATTTACAAACGAAACCTTCTAAATATACCACAATGGCCCGCGATGCTAAACATCAGTAATATCTTTACGTATTGCGGTGCTTAGACACGAGCATGCATTGTCCTGAACATCTTGGTTTCGTGCATCCATTTGTAGGAGGGTTTAAACTACGATAGATCCACATTATCATCATATATACTAGCATTAACTCCAGTGATTAGGATCTCAGATACAACTAGCATGTATCTGCAGACAAATAATTGACACACACTCTCCGTAGTTTCTACTTGGCCTTGAACAACAAAGAAGGGATCCAGGTAGACCTGGTGGCCCGGACTCTGTCGTGGATGCCTCTTGTTACTGTGGCGGACTACAACACGATGCTGGCGCGCCTGCAGGCCGTGCCCACGCAGGTCACACAGATCATCCAGCTTCTCTCTGCTGGGGTTGAGGCCAACATCACTAACCATGAGCTCAGCATGGTGAGATCAAAATGGACAAGGTGGCCCAGTGGTTAAAGTGCAGAGTACCAAGATTGGCGCAGAGAGGCGCGGGTTCGATCCCAGCTCTGTGCGCCAGTTTCTCGTCAGAATCGGCAAGGAGGCCGGGCGGTTAAGCACAGCAGAATTGCAGCAGTGAGTTGCGAGTTCGAGATCTCAAAATGCTGTGAATGTTCTGCGATGTTAAGAATCGGCGACAGGCCTACGGCCTAATAAACGCTGAAACCGCTATTATAATTGTTATATTATTATAAATATTTTGGGGAGTTGTGAGGCAGCTGGACTTCGTAGTTCATAAAAGTGTTTTGATCAATTATATTAATGTTGTTTCTTTATTGGAGGATCGGATGTCTAAGTAAAGAAGCATTCCAATAATCTTTTAAAAGTTACGTAAGTGTCGAAGGGCCAAATTGCATTAGGATGGGGAGATTGGACTACCAATTAACAAGCTTTCTTTATTTTGTGCACAATTAACAAAGATAGAATTTATTATTGTAAGGGATCTTTTTTGTATTAATATTTATAAATATTTATTTTATGGAGGAATGTGTAGAAAACAACTTTCAGCGTTATTCTCGTGATTTCCAAAAGATTATATAACTAAAGTATTTTTATACCTGTAACCAAGATTTTCCAGAATGTTTTTTTTTAAGAAAAAACTTGGGTTTTTCCTGTTAGTTACTGATTTTTTAGACTGTTTAGCGCAATAACAGTTCTTACAAAGCTTTGATTGAGCTTTAAATCTCTGTATTGACTTAACATAAGAATCTAACTCTGCAGAACAAAGTCCCATCGCAACTTGAAGAGTTTTTGGTGATTACGCCTGAAGAATCGCCGATATACAAGCAATTCTTCTCAGAGTTTCCTGCCAACTTCACACCTGATGATGTAGCTGCCATCCAAGCGAGCGCCAAAGCCGTTATCTCAGACTCGGTGAAGTGACTCGACGTTTGTATACATTTTACATTTTAGATAAAATTTTAGATAAATTTGTATTGTTTGGTAAAAATAGTTCCGAATGACGTTTGTATACATTTTACATTTTAGATAAAATTGTAGATAAATTTGTATTGTTTGATAAAAATAGTTCCGAATGACGTTTGTATACATTTTACGACACAGACTGGAAGCATACGGCCATCTAGATTAATTTTTTATTGTTTAGTAAAAATAGTTCCGAATTTGATCAGATGATCTATCGGTAAAACTCACTTTGACGAATGGCAAATGGCATCATACTTATTTTTCATTAAAGCTCAAGAACCTCACATAAGTTTAGAAGCCGCTTATACCATTATGCGCCACTTCAATACAGTTCGCCAATAATCTTTCTCTCATGAAATTCTCCTGGTAACTACAAACCTCTACATAATACAATGAACTTTTACTATCTCTGCGGGAGTGCAGGTGATCCCAGCAGGTAACTACAAACCTCTATTTATTACAATGAACTTTGACTAATAATGTTTGCAATAATAATGAACTTTGCAGGTGATCCCAGCATTTGAGGAGCTACACGCCTACGTGAGCTTGCAGTACGTGACGCGGCCAGACATCGCCATCACCTCCTTGCCGAACGGCCAGGCGCTCTACGCCCAGATCATTAAGTTAGTGTGCCCTATTGCTGCATATACGATAAAGATAATTATCATATATGATAATAATGATAATTATACGCAGCTGCCCGGAATTTATACGATTATATATATGAATATACATATATTATATGATATATATATATATGATTATATATATATTATATATGATTATATATATTATATATATATGATTATATTAGGAAAAGAATCGGCGACAGGCCACATCAGGCCTACACTGCAGCTCCGAGATCACTATGTTATGTTATGTTATGATTAATTGCATGCGATTGTGTAGCCAGGTTAAATGAACTACATAGATGCGATGAGGGGAATGACTATTTTGTTTCAAATATGCGAGCAGTTGAAAAGAAAGCACGAGAGCTGCAGCAATACTTTTCGACAGACCCAAGTCATACACATTTACCATATAGATATGAATCTCTCGCAATGGAGTTTAGGATATTCGAGTTGCGGTAACTTTCATCGTGCTGATACGACATTGTATTGATAATCTCTGAGGCGACGAAAAACTTTGTACTTATAATATGTACAAAGCTCTAAACTTTTACTAATATGTTCAAAACTTGAAAAGCTATCGAAATGGTTTCTGGTAGTCTGCCCGTTCATATATAATCAGATATATACCCAGATCTGAGATAAATATCTTTATTTATTTACTGTGCCATTGATAAAATGAAATATAATGAAAACATTTTAATAAGAATGTGCCATTTTTAGGATAAATAAGAACGATAGTGATATTAACAATGATAACAATAATTAAAGGCTTATTGCGGTAGAGAAAGCAGAAGCAAACGACTAAAAATATTTAATATGTATCACTGAAAGCTAAAATAACTTGGGTGTTTTGGTGAGGCCGAACTGATGAATGCTTTTCAGAATGCTTATGATGAGTTGGTTTATGTTGACGATAGATATTGTTGACGCTCCGAGTATGAACGCGTTCAAGAACAGACTAGACAAGGCCATGCATGAGCATATGTTCAGTCTTAAAATGCCTCGTACCCTACGGAACAACTGATATCTAGAAGCGATTTTAAATCTACCGTCCGTAAGGCCAGTCTAGTCAAGAAAAGTACAAGAATCGGCGACAGGCCTATCCAGGCCTATTTATTTAATGCCGAAGATACTATACTATACTACTATACTATGAGTTCACGGGGTTCAGATTTCACGAGCTCGGCTTTTAATTATGCTTCAGATTCCACGCTGGCCTCGAGAAAACCCCAGAAGAAATTCAGCAAGTTGGCTTCAATGAAGTAGCAAGGATAGAAGCCCTTATGCAAGAGGTTTGCTAATCATTTTCTTAATAATCTCTTATTTAGAACTTCATACACAACTCCTTATTGACGTGTGAATGTAGAGAAAGGTTTCTGCAAAAATCTTCACGTAAATCATATGCGTTACTTAAAGTCTATTTTCATTGAAATTAGATTCCTATAATTTAAATCTCATTTCCAAATATTATTAGATATAATTCAATCCAAATATTAGATTGATATAATTTAATATCCCATTTCGTTGTTACGTAGATCGTGTACGAGCTCGGCTACAACATGTCGACCCAGAACTTCTCCAACATGATCCTGAACGACCCTGCCAACTTCTACACCACAGAGGAAGATCTACTGAACGGCTTCCGTTACGTCGTCTACAACGTTACCACGCCCGCCGTGCCGCTCATCTTCAAAAACATCCCGTCTGCTGAAATCATGTGAGATTCATGGCTTCTTTATCTAACTTATTTACATAACAGATTTGTCTCTTTATTGAGGATCTGTATATATTTACATCCCAGATTTGTCTCTTTATTAAGGATCTTAATGCAGGTTTCGTTGAAGACCAGAGAGAAAATCTTCTGCCAAACTACACTAATGTTATTAAGGATCTGTATATATTTTCTGAATTAAAGTTAGCGTTCAATTTCGTTTATTGTCGAATGGCGATATAATGAATTCATAATATCGCCATTTTGTTATCATATTATTAAGCAATTATAATATTGGTGTGATGAATAAACACACTTTCAAGGTCTGAAATGAATTGGGTTATAGGGAATTGGTATAGGGTTCAAACACTGGCCAAGTATTGACGGAAATAAATGGTTTAATTTTTAATTATATTCCGGATGCGTTGGCTCATAGAATAAAATATAATATAATATTATAATATAATAGAAAAGAATAGAAGAGAATGGAATAGAATAGAAGTGTCGGTTCTGAAGAAATAAGACCATAGCCTGTTGCCGATTTTTGTACTTTTCGTGACTTGATTCACAAGGGATCCGGCCTTCTGAACCCGATCTTTCCATAACTGACGATTGTTTGAGATAGCTGCTAGACTTATTGCAAGGCTCGTAAGGTGCTTGGCAATACAAAAATGACTCATGGCCACAATCACGGGTAATATACGTCACCGAATTGCATCTTACTTGACCAATTGAATAATCATTCATTATACTTCAAATACTTTGAGCACTCAGAGTGTCGGTCGCCTAAAGATACTAAACTTTCTCAAAATAAAATATTTGGTTTGGAAAGAAACACTTTTGGGTTGTCAATAATATTTACATTGTCTTTATCAAAGTTATGACAGATCACCGAAGGCACCACTGAGAGCCACCAATTGAGTGAATTCCTCTCACCGTAATACACGCGCATGTGTCATAGTATAGTATAGTATAGTATCTTCGGCATTAAATAAATAGGCCTGGATAGGCCTGTCGCCGATTCTTTTCCTTTTCGTGCCTTGTTCACAGAAGATCTAAAATCGTGTCATTTGACCGTATTTTTTCATGACTGACGAAAGGCATGGATGCAAAAATCTCCACAAATCGTAACACATGCAAGAAAACTTGCAAATCTATCCTAGTTATATAATTGATCTTATGCAAAAAAATCCAGGTGCTCGGAGTAAAAATATATCAGGAGATGCATAACACGACAGCATCCACAACCTCACTGTTAGATTCGTAGAATTTATTCTTGCAAATTCATAACCTCTGTTCCTTGTGTTTATAATAGACATTTTCTCCGTATGATATTGCCCGCTATGGAAATGTGACTGTCACTGGTTTATGGTGCTCAAATTTTGCAATTAAATAAAATGAACTTGTAGCCCGCCTCATACAACCTAGCGAAATCAACGCAGGAAGGTGAACCTTCAGGTAAGTTGAACTCTCAAAAAAGTTCTTCTGAAAATAGTTAACACAAAAATTTGTGACTGAAAATGCAAGCACGAGTCGTAAGCATAATTTCAACACACATCGAATGACTTCATACGAATATTAGTCAAAGGCTTATTTTAATGCTGTAAGCAATATAAATAAATGCTTACAATTATTGTAGAACTTCGTTCATTTTTACCGCATTTTCTCATTTATGGAAAAAATGCATTATTGTGCTCGCCATGTCCGTCTGTCTGTCAGTCTGTCCGTCCGTCTGTCCGTCCGTGCCCTCAAGTTTTCGTCGACGAGAAAATGAGCTCTCTGTCACGCACTGCAGTGAGTACTGAGTTATATTTTTCTTACTTTGCCATATCGACTTGATGTGAAAAACTGAGAAGATCAAATAATTATACCTTTGCTTAAAATGAACACAGAAGTAACAAAAAATGTCCATGACTCATTGTATTATTCATCTTGATGACGTTTGCATGAAGTTTATGGGAGCTATATAATCATTTTGAAACATAATCTTGATTAGCTTTTTACTTTTCATACTCCGTCTTTGAATTTGGAATTTACGCGGACATATGCTTGTTGCTTCTTATTATTATGCCAAATGTCATATGGCTTCTTATTATGCCAAATGTCATATGGCTTCTTATTATGCCAAATGTCTTGTAAAAAATAATTTCCATACCTTATATTCCGCATCAAAGTAAAGTAAAATTCATTAAATTTGCATGTATTTCCATTGAATAGTTATAAGGAGATAATTCCAGAAAAATTCCCACTAAATTGTTATCTTTGAACCAAATAAGTGTTGGAGACATTCAGCATAAAGACTGCCGGGCACAAGTGTTCAGAACTCGTGGGTCCGTGAGCAGTAGAACATCAGTCAGAGGGCGAGCACCGTGAGTGGGAGGTGCACTACCAAAACTTGCTGTAGTGCTCTACCTTATGAAGATCATATCGTGCAAGTAGTGATATCGTGAACTGGATCAACATATTTTACGCATGATATAACTTTTTTGTATCTTAATACGTTTCTCCTGAATCTAAGTGACACTGAATCTTTCAGCGAGTGCAGCTCGAATTGAAAATTTGTGTAAAAATTTAGCATGGACACCCAAATGAAGAGTACACTATTCTTTATTATTCCGTTTACGTCATAGCCTAAGATTTTCATAGAATATGATCATAGATAAAAAATTATTTTTTTAATGACTACGTTTGCTGTTCGGGAATATTAACAAAAATGTGAATCGACTGCACAGGCAACAATGCCCCGTACCTCGAATTAGAGAAAAATTAATTGCGCTGCATAATCTTATTACTTTTTTACTTGAATCATTTAATCAAAACTTGCATGACCAACGAACTTGGTACACTGTAACAAATGCTGCTTCATAAGAGTAATTTAACTAGAGGGCTTAATAATAACTATAATTATTATCTGAATTCATTAAAATTTCCTACGTTCGAAGTTAAACACTTGTGAGGTTTTAAGAATGAATCGATTGTGCACAATTAGCAGATGCCCTAAAATTCCCCCAGAGTTTTGGGAAATTTTATATTCTTCCGTATATCTAACTTAACTTCGTGGTGCCATGCACCATCAATTTTTTTTACATCACGAATATTGTAAGCTTCATATGCGCTATTAAAACATTTCAGTCAAAGGACCGAATTTAAATTGGTTGCATACTTACTTAACAAATCATTTCCTGTAGTACCATCTCACATGACTCATTTTATTACGTTGATTGACTTAGATGAGTTCATAGTCACGTGACGCGTACATTGCGTCATGCATCCCATCATAGGGACAGCTGGCAACCATGGTCTTTTGGTTGTTCTTCTATGTTCTTGTTTTATGGTCTTCCATGTTCTTATGTTCTTATGTCTTATGTTCTTATGTCTTATGTTCTTATGTCTTATGTTCTTATGTCTTATGTTGTTATGTCTTATGTTCTTATGTCTTATGTTCTTATGTCTTATGTTCTTATGTCTTATGTTCTTATGTCTTATGTTCTTACGTCTTATGTTCTTATGTCTTTTGTTCTTATGTCTTTTGTTCTTATGTCTTGTTCTTATGGGCTCCTATGCCCTCGAGTCTCCTAACTTACCCTACTTCAGGAGTGCCATGGAGGACAGGAACTACGGATACGCTCCTTCAAGGCAAGTTCTTTTGTCAAATAATAACATAACATAACATAACATAACATAGCATAGTGATGTCGGCGCTGAAGTGTAGGCCTGATGTGGCCTGTCGCCGATTCTCTTGTTCATAGATCTAAAATCGTGTCATTTGACCGGATCTTTTCATGCCTGACGATAGTTTGAAATAGCTACTCGACTTCCACCGGGTTCGATATGGTACTAGGCATTTCAAATCTGAACATATATTTTTCCATAGCTTTTTCTAGTCTGTTCTTGAACGCGTTCATACTTGGAGCGCCAACGATGTCATCGGGGAGGCTGTTCCACATGTCGGAGATTCGAAGCGAGAAGAAATGTTGGCGCGTGGAGAATGAAAATTATTTTTTCAACTACTATGGGAGATGTTCCACACTTTCAGTAATATATTGTTACTAGGTATTAATTAATGCATTTTTTCGCCAAGTCATTTATAAAATCATTTAATTTTGAGGAATTTCAAGAGAAAATCAAGCACTGCATACTTTCAGACAATTATTTGTAATAGATTTCATCACTGAAGGTGCATTAATATTACGTGAGCTTTAAATATTAGGGGAAAAACTATCTTCCTGGTACTTTCTTTTACGCATTCACTTTCGCAGAATCAAAATCTTCTCATGCATATTCAAAATTACGAGAGAAAGCGAACCCTTAGTGTCAAGGTTTCCAAAATAAGAAAAAAAAAACAAGCTTTCTTTTTAGAAATTAGCATTTGAGCCTTGAAATAGGAATTCATTTGTTTCTATGTTTTTTTCCGATTTCTTGAGGTAGACGGATTTGTGAAGTCTGAAATTGAGACTTTAATACATAATTAATAGTTCGTAACGGTCAATCATGGCTTCCACTCCTAACGGACTATTTTTTGCGGGACATTTAGTCGCTTCAAGTTCTAATAAGCGTCATAATTAGCATAATATAATGAAGTTCGTGAGACTAAATCAGGNGGTAACGCTGTGTACTAGGGACTAGGAAACAATGGTAACGCAATGTACTAGGGACTAGGAAACAATGGTAACGCTGTGTACTAGGGACTAGGAAACAATGGTAACGGAATATACTAGGGACTAGGAAACAATGGTAACGCTGTGTACTAGGGACTAGGAAACAATGGTAACGCAATGAACTAGGGAACAATGGTAACTCAATGAACTAGGGACTAGGAAGCAATGGTAACTCAATGCACTAGGGACTAGGAAACAATGGTAACTCAATGAACTAGGGACTAGGAAACAATGGTAACGCAATGAACTAGGGAACAATGGTAACTCAATGAACTAGGGACTAGGAAACAATGGTAACTCAATGAACTAGGGACTAGGAAACAATGGTAACGCAATGAACTAGGGAACAATGGTAACTCAATGTATATTAGAATTAGGAAAATAATGTTAAGTACACACAGCAGCCATTTTTAGGTTTCAAGCGCAGGGGATTCGATCGTAAGACGGTATATATCGAGCAGCAAAAACTATTATACCGGTGTCCAAGTTGTATACTTTTTCTAACGTGACTCTTAAAGTTTTTTTTCTTCTAACGATAGTTGTTTGGGCACTCAAAAATTTTTTCCATTGATCTCTGGATTGAATTTCTATCGACGCGTACTACGTGGTATAGAGGAGTGTATATCGAGAATAGTTAAAAAGAAATGACGCTACTCTGTATACAATCATCGTATCGGTTTTGAAATTTAACCGAACAAAATATAATGAAGCTTCGAACTTATCTCGTGACTCTCAATCAAGTAGAGTTTTTTACTAATTATTATTTAATAAGCGGAATAGTTTGAATTGCAAGCTAGGAAATCTGAACGTTTGTGTCCCCGCCAGGCATGCACGCTTTGTCGTATCGGTTTTGAAATTTAACCGAACAAAATACAAGCCTCGAACTTATCTTGTGACTCTCAATGAAGGAGAGTTGTTTTTATTAATTATTATTTAATAAGCGGAATAGTTTGAATTGCAAGACAGGAAATCTGAACGTTTGTGTCACCACCAGGCATGCACGCTTTGGGCTGGACGAGGCAGGAAGCTGTTGATTACATTCTGCAGTACACCGCCCAGTCGGCGCTCGAGGCCGAGGTGAGCTCTGTCAATCTCCTCAGTGTCATGTCTAATTTTCCCTTCAAAAATTTTTATTCATATTTCCCATTTCGCTTCGTCAACTTTCGCTTCCGCCTTTTCCGTCCGTATTTCCCACTTAACTCCTCAGTTGTCTTCAGCTCATAACATAGCAAAGTTTGAGCTAAACGGGCTTAAGGCCACAATCGACTAGTCGAAAAAAATGTTCGTTGCATGCTAATTTATTTTCTATCGTTGTATTGTTCCATTCTGAAAACAAGTTTCCAACTATTGCAATAAAGGTCAACGCCGTCCTTATTGTAACAATGCTATATTCACTTTGAATTAGATGATTTATCAAGTAAAAGCTTTAATTTTGTTCTCAGAACGAGGTTGACCGCTACATCACGTGGCCGGGCCAGGCTCTCGCCTACAAGTCCGGGCAGCTGCAGATCTCGAGCTTCAGGTCGAGCGCCGAGCAGCAGCTGGGCAGCGAGTTCGACATCAAAGACTTCCATGACGTCATCCTTGACAGCTTGGGACCGATGAGTGTCGTCGAAGAAGAGGTTAATGAGTGGATTGCAAGCACTCTTAATCCCTGAGAATGTATCAGATTTTGCTGCTCCTTGAATATACTTAATAAAGAGAAAACTTAACAGAACGTTCTTTCCTTGAAGTAAATATCTCAAGCACTCTTAATCCCTGAGAATGCTTAGGTTTTGCTGCTCCTTGAATATACTTAATAAAGAGAAAACTTAACAGAAC